AGGTCAGTTGGTAACAGATTGTGTTGTTCTTGGTATCTCCCTCTTCAGGTATTTATCTACATACTAGAGGTTTTCAGTGGTCGAAAACTCGACCAAAAATATGTAATGTAAAGATATTTTCTACATTTTCACCCCACGCTGTAAATAAAACATGTTATTTGAATTTCTTCCATTTGTTTTGATTTTCTGTTCATATTTCATTGTTATTTTGTCACCAGCAAGACAACCCATGTTAACCTTTTTTAAATTTTAAATGCATTTATTGTGCTTATTTTTGAGCCTAGGGATATTTTCTGCTAGGAATGACACCGCTGTTATTAATACCAAATAATATAATCTGAATCAATTAAACTGTACCCTACTAATGTACAAGTTAATTTGACTGTCCAGCTTTTTAAAGATCAACAAGCTAGCTGCCATGTTATTCACAATAAATTGCAATATAAAAAATGCAAAGGAATCTCATAGACTTCACACTGTAAAGAAAAATAAAAGATTCTTTACTTATTTCTTTTGTAAGAAAATATTACTACTTTATTTCCTTACTTAATTGATCATTCCATCTATATAAATAAAATTAGAGTTTTGTCTGTACATTGCTTAGAATAATGAACTTTTTGGTTATTTTTACATTTCATAGGTCAGAGAAACCGAATCAAACCTTATCTCAATTTCTGTCTGTCTGTCTGTCTGTCTGTCTGTCTGTCTATCTGTCATTCTCTTGGTAACGCTAAAATACGCACTTTATTACAACTACTCCTCAATAACTATAGCACTGTCCCGCCTGAAACTTATTTTCCAAATACTATACATATATGAGATGGTTTTAGACGTATTTCATCGAATATGAGACAGTTAGATATTTAACAGTAAACCCTTGAAAATCAAGTTTTTGTCGATTTTTGACGTGGAATTTCTGGAAGCCCATGTTAACCTTATGAGAAATGAAATTATTGAATCTTAACAGCTGTTTCAATTAAACAAGTTGGTTCTGTTCTGTGATGTTCAATAGCATTAAAGTTACAAGGATTACCAACAGGGTGCAGCACTAGCACTATTATTTCTTTTACATTTATGACAACAGCTAATTTGCAACCTGGAGGCGAGTGAGCGTAGCGAACGAGCTAACCTGAAGGCAAGTGAGCGTAGCGAACGAGCTAACCTGAAGGAAAGTGAGCGCAGCGAACGAGCTCCAACATACAGGTGAGTGAGCGTAGCGAACGAACTTCAACCAGGACGTGATTGAGCCATGCAAACGAGATCAGATAGTAAAAATAAAAGTAAGCCTACCGTTATAGGATCGACCGGCAGACACAGAGGTAATTTAACCTTTTATTGATTGTCATACCGATCCGGAACAACAAAAAACAACATAAAATGAAGCTATGTATAATAGTTTGGCCAGCATATCTTAAAATATGCAAACCAACTGCTGTTCGTTATATAAGAAGGTTTCAACTGAATATTATAAGATCCCCGTGCGTAGAACGGGTACACAGCTAGTCAAGTATAAAATCACCTCACACCTTTATGTAATACAATTTAGATATTCCATACAGGTGTGAATATACTAAAAGTTGCCCCCTGGTGGGGTTTGGAAAAAATGAAATTTAATTAACTTAATCAGACAACTGAGGACCAATCACAGAGCTGGCAGTGGAAGTAAGATGTTGAATTGAGCCCTGGTTATATACCCCAGAAATCCGATTTATGGACCGTGAGAGGTCTGATATGTCCTCCAGTAATGGAAGCCTATCCTCATAGCCTCTACTGCAACCCTACCCTTCAACCGGGGCTGGTTCAAAAACTGAATTTGATACACAATCAAACACTCTCAGATATCTATATATACTTTAGAAATGATTTGATCAAATATTTTATGAAAGAAGGAAGTTCGTAACAGCTTTATATGACGGACAGATGATAATGTTGAAAATGAAATTAAATATAAAAATTACAATATAATTTCGATTGATTGAAAATTTCCTCAAATTATTTATCTAGTAAAATCTACAAATGCATTACAGTATATATTTAAAATAAGTAAATGGCACTAACTTTGAAACAATGTGACTGAGCTACTAAGACATGAAACCTGCAAGAAACATGATCAAACAAATATGAAATATGGACAGATTGGCTCATCTAATTGATATAAATACAATTTACACAGAACATTTACTTACATAGGTACACTGAAGACAATTTGACGACACTTAAACATAATAAACATAATAACTTAAACATATGCCTATAGAGAGTTGAAAAAGGAATATAGATCCAAGATTAAATCGGCAAAGAAAAAATCAAATGATAATTTAATAATTAATTCAAAAAATACTGTCAAGTGTATCTGGCAAGTCGTAAAGGAAACGACTAAGCCTAGTGTAAGTAAAGATGAAGTAGTTATATCACCTGATCATTTCAATGAATTTTTTGTGAGTAATTTAAGTGAAAAGGGCCATAAACGTGAGACAGGCTTGGATGGTCATGTTGAATCTTTTACTGTTGAAGCTTCAGTACCTAACTCAATGTCATTATTAAAGAATCATAGTTTTGTGGCAGATGTTTCTAATAGTTTTAAGTTTAAATGTATTAATGTTGCTGATTTGTCTAAAATTGTGTCTTCCTTGTCTTGTAAAACTAGTAAAGATCATTTTGGTTTCTCTAATAACCTTGTCAAAGAAACTGCAACCTATTTTATGGATATTCTCGTCACCATGGTTAATCAGTGCTTGTATGAAGGGACTTTCCCAAGTGTGTTGAAAATCAGTAAGGTACATCCTATTTATAAAAACAAAGGTGCCAAGCAAGAAGTAAATAGCTACCGTCCCATTGCTATAGTACCTGTATTTTCAAAAATAATTGAACTTGTTGTAAGTAAACAGCTTATTGATCATTTTAACACGCACAACATTCTAAGCACAAGGCAGTATGGCTACAGAAAGGGTGTTTCGACAATTACAGCCTTGACAGATCTGGTTGAGGAAATTTTGGACTCTTTTGAGTCGAGAGATCTTGCTGGGGCCGCATTTTGCGACCTCAGCAAGGCTTTCGACAGAGTCAACCACAATTACTTGTTGGATAAGCTAAGTTTTTTTAATGTTAGAGGCAGGGAGTTGTCATTTTTTAAAAGTTATTTAGAGAATAGAAGTCAATATGTTTTTGCCAATGGTAAATGTTCAAAGATGTTAAATGTTACACAGGGCGTGCCGCAGGGCTCCGTATTGGGGCCCCTGCTCTTTTTAGTATTAATTAATGATTTAGAAGTTAATGTGTCATCTGAAATTTTCATGTACGCAGACGACACTACATTGATCGCTAGAAACAAAATCAAAGAATTGGCTGAAGTTGACATCCAGGAAAATTTAAATAAGGTTAGTGGCTGGCTGGATGCCAACAATTTAATTTTGAATAGAGAAAAAACCACCACTATGTTTTTTGGCCTGAGGGATCTTACCAAGGAGGAGGGGGGCATTTCAGCCAAGTTCCTTGGTGTCCGGCTGGATCCTACTCTTTCTTGGTTGGATCACTCATCGGAATTATGCATGAGATTGGCTTGTGACATTTTTGCTCTAAGAAGACTCTGTGGTGTCGTCTCGCAAAATGTAGTTAGAACAGCTTACTTTGGTTTATTTCATGCTAAGATTACTTATGGTTTGATTGTCTGGGGCAATTTGACAAAAAAATTGACTTGCAATGATTTTGTGTAAGATGGATGAGCCCTTTGTTCAATTTATTATTGTATAGATTATATATTGTAACCTGACATATCCAATGTATTCAAAAGAATATCTAATGGAAATAAAGATCTTATCTTATCTTATCTTATCATATAGTTACGACACTGCACTTGGGGTTGACTACGTAAAAATGGTCAATTTTGACGAATTTTGCCGGTCGATGTCGAACTCTAAGACTTGATTTGTTAATTCAATTCGTAATATTTAGCAAACGTTGTTTCCCGATTCAAATTTCTATGCACTCCGGAGATCAAACAATTGTTTTCGTTGCCGATATACACGTTACGATTTCCAAAAGTGAGTTTTTGCGAATTGGAAAGAGAATTTAAAGATTTCCGAACATCACCGATCGAAGCCTGGTCCCCAAGTAAGCGACCGTTGGGAAAACTTCTTCGACGTTAACAAGTTCATATCACTCCGCGCTCACGTGATTGGCCGTTGTTGCGTCCTTGCTTTCGCGCGTTTTCTGTTTGATTTGAATTTAATCGGTACAACACTTATTATTCCAAATCCAAAATGGTCATTAAAATACTATTTTATTGTTTTGGTATGGTCTGTACACAAAATTTAGGTGGTTCCTGGATTCCCCCGCCACTTTTTTTAGCTTTAATGAATCAATCAGCTGATCAGTTGTAGGGTGTTGTTTTAAAGTGTAGGGAATGGACCGCTTCCATTCAAACCGCCTGAATTTTGTAAACGGAGTATGCTATTACATTATTTGTTAGTATGTAATTATTCTACACACTAACAAATAGTGTTATATCTCTGTAATAATCCTATACTATATTCAGTTTAAAAAATTCAGGTAGTTTGAAGGGAAGGGGTTCCATCCCCTCCACGACATATGTAATCATTCTGGTGAGCGAGCTGAGTGGTTAGTGCGCGGGACTTCAGTCCCTGAGGTCCTGGGTGCAAATCCCGCCAAGTCACCAATGGATTTTATCTAAGTGATAATGCCGCAATCCCTAGGTCTAGCCTGAAGTAATGTGAAAAAACAGGTTCTAGGCTCGTGCCTAGCATCCTAGGACAAAAAATTTCATCTTTCTATTATTCAATGTTCAAACGTTGTCTCAAAACATCCCGCAAGATGAATTTTCCAGACAATTAAGTTGTTTTAACCATTTCCCAAACCACTAAGTGACTTTAACCTTGTTAACACCACACTTTTATTTAGTATTTATATTCTAGAATACTCAGTTTTTAGCCTTTTTCAGACCACTAAGGGATTGTGACCCATTACGAACCACTGAGTTGGCTTAACTACCATGACAGACGGGTCTGCACCAGATCGGTTATACCAACTATGCCTGGCACGACTGTGTCCTGCGCTTGAGAAGATTGGCTCCAAACTTGACTGGAACCCCGCCATAGCTGGACCTCTAGATAAACTCGGTAGGAAAAAACTAAAAGCTATACAAACTCAGTTTGAAAATATCGGTTAATATATTTACTTTAGAAATGAAGAATAAAAGGTAAACTTTAATTATGATTTGACTGCTAGCTGAAATGCTGAACAAATACGTTGAATGCATTATTGTTGTCATACTAAAGCAAAAACAGCTGTTTTCAATATATGATTTGGGATTGAAAAAACATCTGAAGTTAAGGATCAGCTGATAATTTTTTCCTTCTGTTATTTTTATCCTCTGATCTTTAGAAAGAAGGACTATTGTCGGGACCACGTAAGTTTGCAGTTGGTAGCAGCCAATCACAAGACAAGTCTAGTGCTACGTTGCCATATCGCCCATTGACAACACTTATTAAATATACAAAGCAATATTTTTAAATCAGCTGGTATTATTAGATTTGGCAACACCGCACGGTTCTTATTGGTTCATTCAAAACCATATGGTAAATAGGCTCCTCCCTCAACTGCAAACTTATGTGGCCCCGACAATAAAAATATATTATTACATAGCAAATTTAAATTTAGGTATTATAAGGTCACAATTTATTAAAACGGTAACAGCTTTCAGTAACAAGATTTTAGCATTTTTTGTGGGAGCTAACTTAAGAGCATTTATTTTTGGATACTGAAGTATAAATCTCACTTTTATGTGTGTAGCCTTTTTTTAATGGAACAAAATTGAATTAGCCATTCATAAGTTTATGTTTTTCAGCAAGCAGGATTGCTGAAGATTTGTTAACGTATGCATCCAAAGATGCAACATATTGGAATGATTCTTGGGTAATATTTTTAACACCCAAAATATCATCAGCCATTTTGAAGTGGGACCGATTTATTCTTGAATTTGTTGGTAAAAGATGCAAGGTAGGTTTGACAATCTTCTAATCTGCCAAAATAATCACATTCCTTCACAAAGCTTAATTTAAGGTAGGAGACCGCTAGCAAGTAACTCTCCAGAGGGGGCAGTAAAATATCACTCATCAATGTGCTCTGCATTTTAAGACTCCCCACACCTTAAATAGTCACCTGTCTATTTGCATCCCAGTCTAAAAACAATGAAGAACAGAACATGATAGTTAAATGTTGGTTTAAACAATAGCACTGCCACTGAACTGTTGATGTACACAAGAGATATGTGGCCATGGACACACATATATGTAGGGCGGACTGGACTGCAGACATTAAACAGTCTTCTATGGCTGGACTGGGAACCATAGACATTGGCTATCTTACTAAGAGCAGTGACACTCTACAATCATTTGAAGAAATGGTCTTTTTTATTTTATTTATTATTTTTCAGTGGCTCTAAAATTTGAGAGTATATTGGTCCAGACATAGAGGACTGGCTACCCTTTATAGGAGAATTAACTAACTTTACAATGGTCCAAGACTTAGATACCGTACAGTGAAAAACAGTCCCGATAATATATATTCTTCCTTCAGGGAAATCAGCTATAACCTAAAACACTTTAAAAACTACTAGATAGCCTGTTGCTCGAAATCGAGCAAAACTGCAACTTGTAATAAAAAAAATAAACAACTAAAAACATAAACAGCAAGACCTCAATCAAAGAGTAATTCTAAAGTCTATGACTGATGACTTTTTTCTGGTGGTCCTCTGTTTTCAGCTTTAAAAGTAGCGGTGACATTTATACAGGTCGCATCATTGTAGCGAGGAAATCCAATTATTTTGTCTCTTATTATGTACATAAGAATCTCCCTTAACTCCTCGGAGCTCTCGTCCCTACATACATTTCTGCCACAGTTTTAAAAGATTGGGCAAATGGGTTGGCAATGTGACCATATTTTATCATTGAATCTTTTCCTTTTAGTCCAGGAGCTGAGGGGGGTTGAGCATGCATGAAAGTAGTACGCAATGTTATTGCTGATTATTGTAATATGGACTGTGGTGATCAAAATTACGTATGTCGCCTATTTCAAAAGTGGTCGATAAGGTGGGGGGAAGGGGGCAAACATGGCGGTTTGCGCTATGCGTTAAAACGCTGATAGTTCGAAAACGGTAAAAGATAGAACATCGGTTAAAACGTCGTTGTAATCTTAAAAATGTGGACAACAATAATGGTCATTGGGTCCGAGGTCGTATCTCTATAAATAAACAAGTTATTGTATAAAATATGTAAAAATGGACTTTTCGTTTAGTTTTTTTTACCGAAAGTAGAATTAATTTGTGAGTGTCGCAAAGAAGTAATATCAAATATCTTTGCTGATAGTTGTAATATGGACTGTGGTGATACAAAATACGCATGTCGCCTACTTTTCAGGTGGTCGAGAACTTGGGGGGAGGGGGGCAAAGATGGCGGAACGCGCTATACATCGAAATGACTGTAGCTCGAGAACGGTACGAGATAGGACATTGGTTAAAACGTAGTTTTAATCTAAAAAATATTACCAATAGAAAAGGTCATTGGATAAAAAGTCGTATCTTAACTAATAAAAAAGTTATAACAATAATAAGTTTAACAAAATCTACATCGTACAGCTATTTTTTTCGAAAATCGTATGGATTGTTGATAAATAATAGTGTAATTACTTAATTACTCGGCTAAATATTAACTAGATGCATTTTCTCATAAGAAAAAAATAAATTATTACGAATACATTTGGTTTAAAATGTAAAACACGGCCTCCAAACTACATAATATAATACTTGGGGTTTCGCCGCAATCAAATGCATAATACAGACTACCACTACAAATCCAATTTTAATTATTATAATGTTGTAGGTTATTACAATATGATTTTGTAACAGATTCTTATTTAATACAGTTATATGAAATAAAAAACATTACTACAAAAGTAAATACCTTATAATAACAAATACGGCAAATCTTTTCATTCTATCCATAACAATTACACTGGTTGTTCATATTATTTGTTGAATTTAAATAGGTACCTTTTTAATTTCTCTTAGCACCTGTAATACAAATAAAAAATTGTAAATATTTTCTTTGATACAAATGTATATACATCTATATATAATTAATGCATGAGAGCGGTCAAGAAATTTAAAGTTTATGGTGTTTATATTTACAATGGAATTAAACTACTATATATTACATTTCATATTTAATTATTATCTTATTTGTTTGATTATTTATTTATCATTATTTCAGTTATATACTCAGTGTATAATGAAATACAAAATACAAGCAATCATTATTTTAAAAACAGCAGCAATTATAACGCAACCTAACAGACGAACCCCAAGGCGTTTGGAGGCCGTGTTTTACATTTTAAACCATATGTATTCGTAATAATATATTTTTTTCTTATAAGAAAATGCATCTAGTTAATATTTAGCCGAGTAATTAAGTAATTACACTATTATTTATCAACAATCCATACGATTTTCGAAAAAAATAGCTGTACGATGTAGATTTTGTTAAACTTATTATTGTCAACTTTTTTATTAGTTAAGATACGACTTTTTACCCAATGACCTTTTCTATTGGTAATATTTTTGGATTAAAACCACGTTTTAACCGATGTCCTATCTCATACCGTTCTCGAGCCACAGTCATTTCGATGTATAGCGCGTTCCGCCATCTTTGCCCCCCTCCCCCCAAGTGCTCGACCACCTGAAAAGTAGGCGACATGCGTATTTTGTATCACCACAGTCCATATTACAACTATCAGCAAAGATATTTGATATTACTTCTTTGCGACACTCACAAATTAATTCTACTTTCGGTAAAAAAAACTAAACGAAAAGTCCATTTTTACATATTTTATACAATAACTTGTTTATTTATAGAGATACGACCTCGGACCCAATGACCATTATTGTTGTCCACATTTTTAGGATTACAACGACGTTTTAACCGATGTTCTATCTTTACCCGTTTTCGATCTATCAGCGTTTTAACGCATAGCGCAATCCGCCATGTTTGCCCCCTCCCCCCCCCACCTTATCGACCACTTTTGAAATAGGCGACATACGTAATTTTGATCACCACAGTCCATATTACAATAATCAGCAATAACATTGCGTACTACTTTCATGCATGCTCAACCCCCCTCAGCTCCTGGACTATTTCAAGTGTCATGGATCTTGAAATTGTAGATCCCCTAGGTATGACTCTTCATTATGAACCAGACTTAGTTAACAGATTGAAACAAAATATAAATTCCAGCTTTGCTCTGGAAGTTTTAAGTCCTGCAGTCTGTGGTTAACCTTAAAAACTATTTCAAACTACGTCCATATGTTATTTGTAAATAAAAGAAAATGAGTTTGATCAAATGTCAACAGAGAGCGCCACCTTCCAAACTTTAGCCTTTAAGTGTACTTAAGTTGTGCGCTTTCTAAATATTTTGAGACATATTTGCACATCTACGTGAAAATACCTTTAATTTGACACCTCAAACTTTAAAATCCATCAAGCCGTTATTGAGTTATGACTGTGAAAAGAAAACTGCTTGCGTGTTAATATATAGATTCCTGTATAATCCATCCTGCTGAAATTCTATTCATCACTACTTTCTGGATAAGAGTGAATAACGGACAACAATCTTTTAGAACCTGCGGAGAGTTTTCTTCAAGTGGGTGGCAGAAAAGTTTGACACTAGTCTGTTGGGGTTACTGCCAAAGTCAGTCTGCAGCGTAGACTTTGACGGGGAGCTTTACTACAGGGGAAGATCCAGTTTCCCAGACTTTGGCCAACAATCATGGCTGCCTGAAGCAGAAGGAATATTCAGGTAGGTGTCTCTTTCTGGTTTTTTAACAACGGTGGGACTAATGTAGAATGGATGGCTAAGAGGATATTGTGCTCACCTTCTCGCAAGTGGATTACCAGTCTAATAATGAGAAAAGTCAGAAGCAACTGTTTTTGTATATCGTCTGCTGGCTAGATGGAAACATAAACACAAATTATTAAAACAAATAACACAACTCATGAAATAGAACTTTGAAAAACTCCAATCCCAGTCCTAAATTCTTGAAGTGAGAAGCTTTTTGATGATTCGCAACAACTAGACCCAGCTGTCCTTGATCACAAGGCTTTTAACAAATGATTCTGGCTTAAACCAGCTGATCTTATAGATTCACCATTAAATAGAAAGAAATGGAAATGAAAGAAAATTGTTTTCATTCACTTACCTTTGCCTTTAAGATATCTATCGTGCTAGAGTTGAATATAATCATATACAGGGTGTTTGGTACTCAGTGTGAAAAAATTTTTTGGTGTAAGTACAAAGTAAATGCAGTATGATGATGCATATAAAATGTTCCAAGTCTAAAATTAGCTTCCCAAAGAATTATTTTATGTTTTTCAAAAATAACTAAGTTTTTAAACTTAATACAACTATTTCTCAATTACCTGTAAATGGATTTGAGTAGACAATGTCATTTTCGTGTTCTACATTAAATTTTGAATAAGAATAATACAAAATGACAGAGGATCAGTTGTGAAAACTCCATCGTAAATAGATTCAAAGATAAAAATTAAGATTGTAATGTTTCAATTTAATTTAACCATTGTAGGCTATGTTATGCCTAGGCTAGGTTAGGTTTTTGTTAGATCAATTGTAATAAAAGTTAGGCCTATCTCACATTTTTCATAGTTTAAATATTTCTTAATGTTCTTTAAATTACTAATGAAATAATGTTTCTAATAGTTTATTTTGTAAATAGTGGTAATAAAGAATATTTCTACCCACTTACCGTACCTAGGTTAGCTTACCCACTTACCGTATTTAGGTTAGGTTATCCATTGTAAATATTTCAGCAACACAATAACAGTTATGAATGTACATTACTATTTTATTTCACACTCAAAGGGATAAACATGTAAATTTAACAACTAACTAAATAAACATATTTATTTATTACATTTGTTTTAATGTTTGTTTACTAGTTTACAATAGCTTCTCTGACAGCTCGAGCTCCAGCCGACAGCAGCTGATGCATCAAGAACGATCAAGTGGGCAGCGATGACGTCAGGCTGCCGGAAAAGGAAGATAACTTTTGGTGGAAACATCTGGGTTTAAAGTTCTAGAACATTCCATGGTCTCCATAGCAACCAAATCGGGTATAAATACAGCAGTCCACGGGCCAGTCTTCAGTCTTCACTTCACGAGTTGACAGTCAGCGCTGCGGGTTTAAACCATTTGCCAGGCGCAAATAAAACAATAATAATTAATAGTAATCAAATTTGTATTTGTGAAAGAAAATAAAAACAAAGAATAAGGTCAGTCCCAATTGTGTACTCATTTGAAATATTAATAAGGTAATTTGAATTAGACAAGTAAGTAGGATAGAAATTAGAATAGGCCTACACACAAAGCATTTGTCAGGCCCCGGCAGACCGCTGGTGCTGCGGCTTTAACACTCAACACTCACGCACATTCGGTAGTTGTCTGGCACTTTTTTTAAAGAGTGCTGCGACCGAAATAACACTTACAAGTAGTGGCACTAACAATTTAACTCCATACAAAGCATTTGTCAGGCCCCGGCTGACCGCTGGTGCTGCGGCTTAACACTAAACAAGCACGCACATTTGGTAGTTGTCTGGCACCTTATTTAAGAGTGCTGCGACCAAATAACACTTACACATAGTGGCTCTGTATAACTTAACATTATATCCCACATTTCACACATTCTGCAGTTAGGATAAAATCAGTCACTTGGCAAAGAACCCATCCCTGAGAAACTTTGGTAAAAAATATACAAAATAAAATAAATACAATTAAATGAAATTCAGATTTAAGTCATTGAGACGTTACAAATTGGCACCCAACTAGGTGGCTTGATTTTATCACGGTTATAGATTATTTTAATGCAGAGATATAATTTACGAAAATATATAACACCTACACTTAGAGCACAAGAAGCACACTTAAATATGAGCCGGCAATTAGACGAAATCAATATGGAAGAATTATTAAACCCTAATAATGACAATCCCGGAGATGACTTATACAGTATCGATAATCAAAATTTAGCGTCTGGCGACAATCTAAATCATAGTAACGTAACAAGTCCCAGTAGAACACAGCACACAAACATGGACCAAACAATAATTAGGCCTATATTACAGACACTTGAAGAGTTTAAAGAACAAGTATTGTCACAATTTAAACAAACTAAACAAGAAATAGAAAAAGTTCGGAAGGATCTGACCATCGAAATAAGACAAATCGAATCCAAATTTGATACAAAAATAACAGAATTAAGGGAAGAAGTACACAACCATATTGAGGAAAGAATCGCAATGATTCAAGAGAATCAGGAAAGAATCAATAAGGAATTTGAGGCAAAGTTAAAAGCTGGGAATAATGGGAAACCAGTAGGCCTACATATCACATGTCCTAGCACCATAGCTAAAGACTTACCAAAATTCAATGGAAAATCAAAAAACCCAAATCAATTCCTTTCTAGGCTGAAAAACTATTATAACAGGGAAAATGAACGAAGGCTTTCACAGGATGAACAATCACTGAATTTAGAAGAAATCTTAGATATATGCTTGGAAGGAACTGCAGCACGATGGTGGGATCTAGTTAGGACTTCAGTACACGATATTGAAGACTTTGAAAAATATTTTATGAACAAATATTGGAATGAGGAGATTCAAGATGGGATTAAAACTAAATTAGACTTAGAAAAATACATACCAAGGAGGGGACTGACAAGAACAGAGTATTTCATCGACAGGGTAATACTGTTGCAAAATATGACACCAAAATTCACAGAGAGGGAAATAGTTCGTCGCCTTGTTCGACATTTTGACGAAACAATTCAACAGGCCTCCAGAGTGCAAAACATAGTTTCAATACATCAAATGGAGGAACTATTAAGTAGAGAAGATACGATAGAAATTAACGAATCTATACGGAACGAGGCAGAAAGGAATGTAGAACGAAGAAGTTCATACAGTCACAGACCATCAGGAAGAAACATGGATCAACAAGGTTCATTTAATCACAGGCCATCAGGGGACAGACACTATTTTGAAAAGAAAAATGAAAATAGGAGGGATCATTTCCAAAATAATTATGGAAATAGAAACAGCTATGATCGCAATCAAAAACCAGGAGATAGTAACCGAGAAGAACCTAAACAAAAATATTTAAACTAGATAGCACTGGAAATAATGCAGGCCTAAGGGAAATTTTGACACCACCAGATAAGACACTTAATACATTTCCAGTGCAAGATGAATTAGAAAATATTAGGCCTATAAATAATATTTATGTCAACAAAGAATTCTTACTAAATGACAACATCAATAATGTTGAAGAAACTAAACACATGTATCATGTACCAGAAATTGACATTAATTTTGAAAAAGTAAGTACAGTGTGTATATTAGACACTGGAAGCACTGTTACTTGTATGCAAAAGGAATGGTTTTTAAAAAATAAACACAATTTAGGAAAATATGAAGAATTTCCATTAACAAATACTACAATAACTACAGCAGTGAATCAGAAGTCCCAGCGAGTTAAGAGTATTATCTTAATAAATGCAAAAATAGGCTCAATAAGTACACAAATCCAATGTTTGATTATACCAAACTTGATTAAGGAAATAATAATTGGAATCGATACGATGAAAGAACTGAACATGGTTATAAATTTAAATAAAAACTATGCTACTATAGGAAAAGAAAGCATTAAATTCAACAATAATCCCATTCAAAGCATAAGGTGCAATATATTACAAAAAGAAGATTTCACCCCAAGTATGGATGAGAAGGAAGACAATCTATTAAGTAGAGAAGAAATTTCTGAAGAAATCAACAAAATTAGTCATATAGATGAAGAAGATAGAGAAGAGAAAATATTGGAACGGCAAAGTATGGAGCAATTAGAAGAAACATTAGGGTGGAAGTTAGAATCGGAACAATTTTCAGAAATCATTGAAAATGAAGTGATAAAAACAGCCCAGACAGAAGTGAGAATGTTAGAAGAAGAAAATATGAAAAATGAAGAACTGAAGACAGGAGAAGAGAAGAAAAGAAAGGAAGAAGAGGAGAAGAGCAAATGGAAAAGGAGGAGAATAAAGGAAATAGAAGAAGAACCAGAAATGAGGAAAGAAGAGGAAGAAGGAATACGAATACAAAATTTCAAAGGAAGAAATGATGGAGTGCTAACAAACACTTTTCCGGAAATGGTTCTAAATGTGAATTTAGTGCACTGGCTTGAGCCACAAATCAATGAGTATAAATTGATAAAAATAGATGAAGATGACGACGAAGACATTTTGGACTTAAGACCAAATTATATGGAAATAGAGGAGTAATTTTCAAAATAAAAAAAGACTATGTATTGTATAATTTTTGTATATATGTAAATATTTAATTTTTTATTTTTCAAATTAGGGGACAATGTAATGTTTCAATTTAATTTAACCATTGTAGGCTATGTTATGCCTAGGCTAGGTTAGGTTTTTGTTAGATCAATTGTAATAAAAGTTAGGCCTATCTCACATTTTTCATAGTTTAAATATTTCTTAATGTTCTTTAAATTACTAATGAAATAATGTTTCTAATAGTTTATTTTGTAAATAGTGGTAATAAAGAATATTTCTACCCACTTACCGTACCTAGGTTAGCTTACCCACTTACCGTATTTAGGTTAGGTTATCCATTGTAAATATTTCAGCAACACAATAACAGTTATGAATGTACATTACTATTTTATTTCACACTCAAAGGGATAAACATGTAAATTTAACAACTAACTAAATAATTAAAACATATTTATTTATTACATTTGTTTTAATGTTTGTTTACTAGTTTACAATAGCTTCTCTGACAGCTCGAGCTCCAGCCGACAGCAGCTGATGCATCAAGAACGATCAAGTGGGCAGCGATGACGTCAGGCTGCCGGAAAAGGAAGATAACTTTTGGTGGAAACATCTGGGTTTAAAGTTCTAGAACATTCCATGGTCTCCATAGCAACCAAATCGGGTATAAATACAGCAGTCCACGGGCCAGTCTTCAGTCTTCACTTCACGAGTTGACAGTCAGCGCTGCGGGTTTAAACCATTTGCCAGGCGCAAATAAAACAATAATAATTAATAGTAATCAAATTTGTATTTGTGAAAGAAAATAAAAACAAAGAATAAGGTCAGTCCCAATTGTGTACTCATTTGAAATATTAATAAGGTAATTTGAATTAGACAAGTAAGTAGGATAGAAATTAGAATAGGCCTACACACAAAGCATTTGTCAGGCCCCGGCAGACCGCTGGTGCTGCGGCTTTAACACTCAACACTCACGCACATTCGGTAGTTGTCTGGCACTTTTTTTAAAGAGTGCTGCGACCGAAATAACACTTACAAGTAGTGGCACTAACAATTTAACTCCATACAAAGCATTTGTCAGGCCCCGGCTGACCGCTGGTGCTGCGGCTTAACACTAAACAAGCACGCACATTTGGTAGTTGTCTGGCACCTTATTTAAGAGTGCTGCGACCAAATAACACTTACACATAGTGGCTCTGTATAACTTAACATTATATCCCACATTTCACACATTCTGCAGTTAGGATAAAATCAGTCACTTGGCAAAGAACCCATCCCTGAGAAACTTTGGTAAAAAATATACAAAATAAAATAAATACAATTAAATGAAATTCAGATTTAAGTCATTGAGACGTTACAAGATGTCTGATAAAAATGCAAAAAAAATTGGTCAATTGCATTTGTTCACACCCTGTATACAGGAAAGTGTCGGAATATGTTAAAAACTGCGCCATTTTATAAGCTTTCCAACCATATGCTACACTATTGAGGTTTAGATATTTTTTTGTTTATTTTAGTGGTTTGAATGCCAGAAAACAGGGAACTTTTTTACTGTTTTTACTGTTCAAGCTGAAACAAAAATACAACTTTTGCTTAATACATGCTGACTTTCTATGTTTTAAATGATAAAGACGCCATGCTTTGTAGTCTTCAAACCACGAAAGCGTACATAAGCAGACAGAAAGCTCAATGGTGTAGCATATGGTTGGAAAGCTTATAAAATGGCGCAGTTTTTAACATATTCCGACACTTTCTTGTATACAGGGTGTGAACAAATGCAATTGACCAATGTTTTTTGAATTTTTACCAAACATCTTAATTTTTATCTTTGAATCTATTTACGATGGAGTTTTTACAACTGATCCTCTGTCATTTTGTATTATTCTTATTCAAAATTTAATGTAGAACACGAAAATGACATTGTCTACTCAAATCCATTTACAGGTAATTGAGAAATAGCTGTATTAAGTTTAAAAACATAGTCATTTTTTAAAAACATAAAATAATTCTTTGGGAAGCTAATTTTTAGACTTGGGACATTTTATATGCATCATCATACTGCATTTACTTTGTACTTACACCAAAAATTTTTTTTCACACTGAGTACCAAACACCCTGTATATAATTTTTATTAACTTTGAGTTGTGTTTAAAATGTTATTCTGTTGTAAGATCTCTGCTGCTCAGCTACAAGAAACAGCACTCCTTAAATGACAAGTGTTTGGTAGAGTTGCACCTCGGTACGTCGTCTGTATCGGCTGATCAGCTGACTCAAGTGTTGCGGACCGCTCCTAACATTCGTCTGCTGCGGCACTATCAGCTGGTTTCAGCATTATACAAACTGCACTCTGAGTCTTGGAAGAGTGGCAGCACTATTCCAACCTACAAGCTCAACAACTTGGATGCTGACTTTTCTCATGTGGTTTGTAATTTTATCCACTATGGATGTTCTCTTCACAAAAGAAACTATTTTTTTTTCTTTTTCTTTGATTAGTGAAAACCTACAACCTACAACCTCTGGTGAATGAACAATTTGTTAGCAGCAATATCAAAAAATTACTTTTTCTTTTCACAAAGCCATCCCAACGTCATTGACTGGAAAAATAACCTAATCTATGATGTAACGGAACATGTTAGGAAATGTTCCAATATTCAAACAAATAGTATCAACGGCCACATACTAGATGTGTATGGTGGATAAGTAGCCATTTTTTGTCAAACAGGACAGATACATTATAGTATTAGACCTAGGTAATTTATAACTCAAGAATCACTTAATTTGTATTCTCAACATATATCTTTTACAAAAAATAAAAAAAAACTGTCAAGATTTCAGCCATGCCAGGTAATATTGAAATATCATTCATTTTGATAAGCCAATCAAAAATGCATCATTGAAAGCCCAGTACTTTTTGAATTGCTGACAGAAATTGTAACTAAATATCAAATTTTATAGCAAATGTCTCAAACTCAAATACATCTTTGACTCTAGCATTTTCTCAGGTTAGATGCAGGATGTCTCCACAAGCAGTTTTGCCGGGAGACGCGATGCGACTAGCCTCTCAGCTGTGTCCGGACGTAGCCTCGGTTAGGGTGCGCATCGACTGCTCCACCCCTCATGACATCCTCGGGCCTCTCACCTCATTCAAGCGGCTCCGAGAACTGAGCGTCGTCTGCGTCACCAGTGGCGAGAGGTGCAACCTTGACTTCAGCGACATCTGTCCCATCCTCGAGGCTCATGGCGAGACTTCACTCACCTCCTTAGAGTTAAAGGTATTATTAAGAATCTGTGTTGAATTTGTTGTTTATAAAATTGATCATTTAACTTTGTTACCTTTTTTTGCTTCAGTTCTTGATGTTGTAACTTAGTTTAATTCCCTATGCACATTTTGTCAGTATAGGTGGCATCCTCAGTGGGTCTTATATTATCTTCTTTACAACACTAAAACTAATTTCTATAATATTTAGCAAAAATTACACAGGATTGGAAATTTAATTAACCTTAAGTCACTTGAGCGTGGTTGGACCATACTGATCCTGTTATTACGGTAATTCCAAAGTAGTTTTGTGGATATTTTCACCGTCACTTGCAATCTCAGAAAAATCCGGTTCATCTCTTGTACTCTTAGAAAACCGTCTTCGTGCTTGCAATGGCAGCAAATCCTAAACATGAACAGAAGTCGTGTGGAAATCATCATCGTCTACCCTGATCGCAGAAATATCCTGGACATCTACCATGGTTGTGTGGACACCATCAACAATTGCGGCAAAATATTAAACATTTCCTGCGTTTGCTGAGACATCATCATCACCAAGGATTATGGAAACTTTATCGTCATCAACAGCAATCTTGGCAAAAGTGTGATTTTTAAAATGACGTTATCTTGGCTGACAATTATCTTTTTATTTGATCTCTCAAGCTTGTAAGCTAGGTTTGGCTCAGCTCTAACATCGAGCTCCACGCAACTCTACTGATGGTATATCCCACAACTTGTCCCCATCCATGACATTTTTTCACCTACTTCATTCCTTGCTAAACAACAACCACTGTTAAAAACATTCTGTATTCTAATATCAAACTACTTCTTGCAGGTGATTGAAGAAGTTGAAAGTCACCAGATAGTGTTTCTGTGTCCGAGACTTGAGGTTCTGGTGCTTAGTGGATGTGGGTTTGTCTGTCCTCCAACATGCGGAAGTTTCATGTGTGCCAACAATCCAAGGTATATCAAACCAAAGTCACTATGGATTTCATTGCACCTTCGTCTACCTAGGGATTATCCGATGGTTTAAGGTTGGGACCAGTCCCCAGGTAAACCTTCAGGAGACAGGTTCCATCACATCCAAAGCCTGCATACCATTAGGGGTAGCTTAATTTTAGAGGATTGTAGTAAAAACAAATTAAATAATCAATGCTTAGTTTATGACTAAAATCTGCTGATTCTTTAGTAAGGATCTTAACAGTGGATAAAAACTGCATGAGTTTGCAAAGGATGGAAGAAGCAGGTAGTTTGTCTTTAGACTTTTCAATTTCTTACTTCATAAAAAATCATGAAACGTGATCAATATCATTATTGCTCCGCTCAACTGGATTGTGCTGCCCTGAAAGCAATCCTAGTAAACTTGCTATAGAGTTTTGTTTTTTAGGTACCTGAGGAAACTAAAACTGCTCTTCTATGCCGATGGCGATGACTTCAGTTGGACTCACAATGTTCCGCAGTGCTTCTGGAAAGCCGCTCTGACTTCAGGTGCTCTTGGGTTGTGTGACAAATAAATATTTATTATTCTTAGGTTGGATTGGAAAAGGTTTATTGCCCGACAATTTAGGAGATAAAGGACAGGTTAAGGAGACTTACCAAATAAATGTATGCCCCACTTCACAAAAGCAACGCAAAAGAAAACACAGAAAAAAAACTGAATATTTTTAGGCCACTGGCCCCTTCTCCAACATTGAGAGTCATTGAATATTCTGGAAGTCTTTCACTATGTACAGGAAGCAGTGTTGCCAACACATTTTTGTGTTTCTTTTGTGAAGTGGGATGCATACAATGTTTAAGGTAAGCCTGCCCTGTTTTTCGTCTCCTTATTTATTACCTATTCTTACAACTTATTGGAAAAAATTGTAGGTATTGTGAAGAATTTAATTTTTTTTTACTTTTACCTCAAGCTATTTAACTTCTTACTTTGCTACACTATGAAGTGGACCTGATAGATATTATAAGAATGATTTATGTCTACGGTACCTACTTCATGAAACTGTGGTTTCAGCTTGCAATAAAGACAATAGACAATAGACAATAGACAAAATCTTTATTGAAATATTCCTAGAGAACATTCATGCGTCAGGTTAAGAAAGGTTAAAGAAGTTAAACTTTACACATTTAAAGAAGTGTGGAGTTTCTGTTACACTTTTATTACATTGAAAGGATAATAATTCTGAATTGATCCAAGCATGTGTGATTTTGATGTAAACAGATTTTTAATTCTGACCTTTTAATTTGTTGTTACCAAGTAGGCCCAACAAAGAAGTCCCGGTTGTCCGGATTATTTCTGGAGTCTCCTCGGATAACAGAGACGACTGCTCGGGAGCTTTGGACTGCAGGACAAACTGTTTTGTATCCTGAGCTACGAGTAGTTAGCCTTCTTAGGTAAGTGAAGCTTTTGGGGAAATTTTAACATCAGATTGAACACCAAAACAAATTTGCAAAAAATTGATAAATTACAGTATTGATTTTGATTTGTAACCACATGAGAATTATTTCAGTCAGATAGCAAGTCAGGCCAGTTTTCTAAATGTGTAATAAACACGTTGAACCCTTTAATCTTATAAGGGTGATATATCATGTGATATAACAAAACCTTGCCATTTTACACATGAAAGAGCTAACTGTTAAAAATACTGAAATACATCAAAAAAACCAAAACTGTAGCTGAAAATGAGCTGCAGTCAATCAGTGTCACATTTGAGGGACAGGTCCACTTACTATAAACATTGGACCGATTGGATGTAGTTTACAGGATGAGTGGAATTTGTGAGTTGCACGGTTGCACTTAACAGCAGGTTTAATTTTTACTACTCTATAATTATTCTTACTTTGTGTGTCCACCAAATCTTTTTAAACAAATATGGATTTTTGTAAGAAAAATGGGGCAAGCAGATTAGTCTGATAAAAAATAATTGGGAAAGGGGGATTTGATTTCCGACAATTTCAGATTTATAAGATGTTTGTGTTGTCACAGATACAGCGAGATAACTTTAGATGACGTACGCAACCTGACTAGAGGAGCTCCGCTAAAGTACTTACGAGCGACCGACTGTGAGAGACTTCACTCCAAAAGGCTACGACAAATGTTTACCTCTCAAGGCCTTGTAATCTGTACATCGTAATCTTGAATTACAAAATAGATTTGCATTGTACTGATTGTTTTTAACCTTCTAACAAGGCGTACTAATAGCCAACTTTGTCCAAATTGACTGTGACTTAGTTTTAGTATGTACTTTGGATTACTTTGAGTTAAAAGTATAGTCTTGTGTAGCTTGTTTTTTGTTGATAAATTTCTTTATACATTTTGGTAAAATAAGTTTTTTCTCAAGAAAGACCCTGCAACATTTGAATCTCCTGCTCTTAATAATATACTTTTGTGTTTTTAGCACGAATAAAAAAAAAACCATATGTAAATTAATGCTATTAGTATAGGGATTTTGTTTACTTTCGGGCCAAAAACATCATTTGTTTATTTTTATGATCCATACCGGTATTTTTCTAGAATTCGTGGTTTTTACTGTACTCTAATGCACATCTATCCTACAAATTTCAAATTTGTGGTAGTGGAGCTCCATTATTTTCTTTGCGCTTTCTTTTGGGTTTGTTAAGTTGAGGCTCTTTAGAAACCCCAATAAAAGGTTTAGTGACTAAACCAGGAAAAAAGACTTTGGAAGGAAAATGACTTGGTCAAAGAATTTTTACAATCAAATGATTCTGATACGTCAAAGGCACTATCATCCATTTCTTTCCATTTTCTTCAATTCAATGTTCAATATAAGAATCAGTTTTGTTTTAATTTTTGTTTAACCCTTATTGATCTTCTAAAAAATTGTTCTTCAAATATTACGTTTTGAAGCAGATCAAACACTACCTCGTATTTCATACATAATGCCATGTTTCATGTTGTACATTCTTTTGATATCATGAAGAGGTTTTGACTGTTGTGAGATATTATATAATCACAAGTGAAAATGAAGTACTGTAGTGGTATTAGGAAAATACAAATACAATTCTAATACTATGAGGTTTTGTAGTTTAAAATTAATTAATTTGTTCCCAATTAGCTAAACGGCTTTTTTTCCTTATTTTTGATTTAGCTTTGCTTTGGGAAGAAAGAAATTGGATGGACATAGAGAGGAATATACCTCCATTAAATAAAATTCTGTAAATTAATTGCTGACTTTATTAGTCCTTTATGTAGTTTTCTTTACATTTCCGTTACAATTCCAAATCACAAACAAGTATCTAATGTCAGGTAAATCAGATAAAGTTAAGAGATGAGAAACTGGAACTAATTTTGTTTTATCGGCCCACTTCCTTGATATATCGTTTCCCTAGCCTCCAGGTATAACATTTCCATGTAAGTTTCCTACTTTCTCAGTGGAAATATCCATGAGTACTAACTGACAAATAAGCTGTCCTTCAGGAAAATATTATTGAGATCATGTATTTATTGCTTTTGACAGTTTTTACATTGTTTATTAAACATAATTATGCTTATTTACTGTATTTATTTTATCTTTTTTGTCCGTTTTTCTTGCAAATATTTACAGTTAAACCTCGCTAACTTGTTAATTTTTGGACTCAGAGGCCAATAGTTTGGGGGTTGTAGATGTATAGTTATCCAGAACATTGAACATTTTAATGGGTTTTAATAAATGATAATATAACAAACTAATTTTTACATATAAGTTCATTATTTACATGAGTATTTTTATTGAGTAAACAATCTTCAAAGAAATGTAGAATATTAACAATTAAAACTAAATTTTTAGATAAAAAGTTTTTTTTGTGTGCGCCTGTCGGGTTGACTGTCGAGTTAATGGGAGTTACCATGTGTTACTTTAGAAGGAATCGTCTATTGTTTATTGCTAGTTGGATGCTGTTGTTAATTGCTTATTTGTTATTCTTTTGTTACCTACATCTACTCATTTAAGGTTTAATTTAATATTAGATCAGTACCGTACTGAATCTGTCATCTTGTAATACTATTGCATTACTAATTGATCTCATGTTTGTAAGTAAATTGTGCTGTAACATATCAAAATGGAGTCCGTTAAGACAAAAATTAAAGACTAAATTACTACCTATTCCAGTATATGTATAAAGTTCATGTATCAAAATATTACAGACTTATACCAGTCTGACACCAGCCCAAATAACCCCATATCTGATATGAACCTAATTATATTAGTACTAAATATTAAGACATATAATTAGTCATTTGACTTATCAACTTTGGAGATGCAAAAATCAAGATTAACTAAAGATAGTGTGCCTGAAGTGAAATACTTACATTTATATGATCTAGTCATATTTTGAATAAATATTAAGCATCCAAACCCTAGTTTAGTGCTATAAACATGATTAAGATAAAACTTGACGTAAAATCTGATGTTCGTGAAATGATCAACATGTGTTGGTTGGGATTTGTGTTTCTAGTGATGTATGTGCCTTATAATTCTGTGGAAAACATTGAGGTAAATATTTCATCATATTGTAAAAGGGTGAAAATGGTCAGATGAGATTTGAAGTAGGTACCGGTACAGTATGTTGTCATGTTTCTATAGCATAAAACAGCTGTTTTTTTATCAGCTTTAATAAAAAAACAATGTTGATGATATTGGGTAAAGCTTTTAAGCTTGTGTTTATTCAAACAATTTCGTGAATCAGAATTATCATACTATGAGAACTGGGAGGGGGGGGGGGGGGTTACAGTAAAATTTGGGTTTTCTATTTTTTCACTATAAAACTCAAAGTTTCACAATTTCTTTCCAAACCAACACGTTTCCTATCTCGTTTAGTGTATGTATGTGTTTTTTTTTACAAAAACATTCATAACTCCTTTAACTGTTTGAGCAACAGCGTTAAAGATAAACAAAAATGTTTATCTTTCTGGCCACTATCTTTGTGCAAAATAAGAATACAAACTTTTGAACAGTTTTAAAATGGTGGCTTTTAAAAATATATGATGCCTAATTTCATGAAAACCATTAATTACAAAAAAATCTGCAAGTAATGTACGTAAAATTCAGTCAACTTTATGCAAATATTAACGATATCTTATAAACTTAGTTTGGACAAATAATAATCAAATCTCAGGGCCATGCATATCTAAGAAGATATTTCGCCACACCAACAAAGCCTCTCCATCTTGCTATATCCTCTGCATCCTCCTCAGTTGCTCCTAGTTGCTCCATGTCTTTCTTTACTTGGCTCCACCATTTTTGTTTTGGCCTTCCTCTCGGTCGTCTTCCTTCGGGATTTCTTATTAAAACTAATTTTAACTTATTTTGCTCCTCTCTTCGTAAAACATGTCCAGCCCATCTAACTCTTCTACACTTAAATTCACACACCACATCTGGATCTCTGTAGAGTTCTCTCAGTTCTCTGTTGTGTCTCTTCCTCCATTCACCACCTTCATAAATTGGTCCATAGATTTTTCTTAAAATCTTATTTTCGAATGTAATTAACTTCTTTTCTTCTTTTTTATTTGGTTTCCATGTTTCAGCTCCGTATAATAATACTGGGCTGATTATTGTCTTATAAATTCTAACTTCTGGTGTTTTTTGACAGTAACTTAGAGGACATCAGTCTGTTGCAAGCGTAGAAACATCTGTTTGCCAGATTTACTCTATTTTGAATTTCTATTTCTTCTTTGTTTTCCCTGGATAAGATAACCCCTAAGTACTTAAAATGTTCTACTTTTTCAAATTTATGGTCATCTACCTGCAGTGGGTCTTGGGCTATACCTTGATTTCTTGAAAATTGCATATATTTGGTTTTCCCATCATTTACTTTTAGTCCTAATTGTCCTGTTTTGTCCATAAATACTTTTTTTAGTTGGCGTAGGTCCTCTAAATTTTCTGCAAAAATGACGATATCGTCTGCAAACGCTAATATGTCAATTCTGGAGCCAATTGAAATTCCCTTATCTATTGTTGCCACTTCTTGTAGAGCTTCTTCTATTGCTAGGTTGAAGAGGATTGGGGAGAGCCCATCCCCTTGCCTTACCCCTGCATTTACTGTAAAGGGCTCCGAGACTCTCCCATTTTTTTAAATTAAAATATACCCATAAACAAGTAAATTACAACAATTTTCATTTTCTCCATAAGAATAACATGGGAATTTTCAATTACACTATTTTTGAATTTTCTCCGTGACCGTTAGGCATACAAAAGGGCTTCAATATACTAAATTATTTCTTTTTTTAAGCTCTACAAAATGGTTTAGAAAGAAATTGCAAAATTTTTTGTTTTTAGGTTCAAAAATGGGAAAAACTTATTTTTACCCCATAAACCCCCGTTTCCATGGTCCGATTACGCTGGATCGCGAAACCCGTTTGAATAAACGTGGGTTTACACGTTTGTACCAAATTTCATCAAAATCGCATCATTTTTGCTCGAGTTATCGCGCTAACGGACACACACACACACATATATATATATATGAATTTGAACGGATGGTGTTTTTGGCCTCTAGGGACCTCAAAATGAAAAATTAAATCGGTCTCGGGTCCAGGTCTTACCATGAGTACTACTGTAATAGCTTATTCCCTATATGGGAAATTCGCTAAAAAGAATATAAAAAAAGGGTACTCATGTTATTTTATATAGGCTATTATTTATTAATATACATATATATATATATGAATTTGAACGGATGGTGTTTTTGGCCTATGGGGACCTCAAAATGAAAAAGTGAATCGGTCCCGGGTCTGGGTCTTACCATGAGACCTACGGTAATAGCATAGACTAACCAACACAAGGGAGTATGTTTTATCTATGGTAATAGCTTATTCCCTATATGGGAAATTCGCTAAAACCTTCCCTGACACACATATAGAACAATTTTCCTAAAACTCGCTGTGATTGGATGACCGTATTATTCATATGTGACACACAAACGGACATAAATTTCATTTTGTTTAAGATGATTTTCTATAAATCATTGTTAATTTTATCTTAAAGTGAGACAAAACAAAGTTATTATTTGGACCTATATTTTATTGGACCTATATTTTAATTTGTATAAGATATAAGAATAGTGAACAGGGTGTACAGTAACAGCGGGACAGAATAACGATGGAATGCACGGCCGACTTGATTAGTGTGGAGACAAGAAGGAGACACAATCCACCCTTTCATCCAATAACGATCATAAAGGCAGTGTGGTTCATTGACCAAACAACTTGTACTTGTAGCTGACGGCGACTTTCCCATGTTTCATGCTGCACGCATGAAAGACAACAGACAAAGTTACCACTGAATATATTATTGTGACGATGATGACAAAGATAATATTCCTGCAAATTACTTTCTGAATACTATCTTTCACAGAAATAGGGTTGTTTATTTTGACTCTATTTTGTACTAACGGTCACTAAATCTTGATTCTAAACCCTTTGTTGAAACAACCTATGCACTGAGTCCCACGAAAACGGAAAAACGAATCCCAGCCACACGTGTTGGAAGAAAAAAGGATTACTTTATTTAAATTGTAAAAAATCTATTGTTTTATAAAATACTAGATCGGAATGACAATGAATAATTATTGTGTGTAAATTTGGAAATTTGTATGAGAAATGTCCATACATTTTAGAATAAGACCGGTAATTTTTTTGTACAAAGAAATAAATATTCGCAGTACTGCATTTTCAAATTATCTCATGTTCCCATTTTTCCTGAAAACCAACCAATTTCAAAGTATATCTTAGGTTTTTTATTTAATTAAATTTTTTTATAACGAGCGTCTGTATAAGTATAGGTGTTTTATTAGTCTACAAACACGGGCCTCACGCCACTCAAGGGTAACGTTTTCCTGCTATGGACTGGTATTAACCATCGATCTCTATTATTAACTGGTGCTTTATAGAGGAAAATGGACTGAAATTATTCACCAATTGACGTAGGTAGGTATCTAAAAGTAAATAATGTTCCTGGAAATATTGAGAAACGTGCTGTCGTAGCTTCTATCTAAAAACATAATACTGCTTAATCAAAACAAATTATTAGCAATAATAAGTTATATTAGTATGCTTAAATTTAAAGCCCCAAAGTTCCAGTTAGGCGGATAAGTGTTGTGGCATTTTTTGGTAAGATGAAATACACTGAGCACCTTTGCACACGTTGCTGTAATTGGTTATCAAAATGATTTTACGATTCTGTCTGAACTACATATACATTGATAAAGGTTAAAACCGACAAAGTAAAATCAAAATCAATATTTTTTAGTTATTAATTCGGCAGCAAAGATGGTGGCGGGATTGCGGAAAGGCGTCATAGCGCTGCTAGTGCTAGTGCTGCCCCCACTCAAACCATTGTTGAACCAAACCAGCTGGCAAACAGAAACAACGCTTCTCTATAAACATCCCAGCTGTTACCTCAATCCAACCTCAACCTCAGTAGTAGTCAGTCCGACTAGTGCCTCGCAGACGCGTAGACGTGAGTTAGTTTCGTGTTGTGATAGTAAACAGTGAAGTGACAAAATGAAGACAAACAAAGAATATACCGTGGTTAAAACCAAATCGTCTTCCAAGGAATCTAATCGACGTGAAATACGGAACATGATTATGTTAGGATCGGGCTTCATGGTCATGTTTTCAGCGTTTAACACAATGGAAAACCTAGAGGTAACTAACTTACACAATGCTTTGTTTTGACTATTCTTAGCCCTACCGAATGAATTGTCTTTGTTCCATTTACCAACAAGGGACGAAGGGCACGTTTATAATATCAGTAAATGTGTGTGACAAATTCTGGTACTTACGTATTAAACGGAGGCCACATTTTGTCAGCGCGCTGCGGCGGTTATGTTAGGTTGGGTTATCGCAAATATTATGTGTGTAGGACTTTCCTCGCTTCGTTATGAATCGATACCAGACGAGTTATACTTTCTATTATGATAACCCAACCTAACATAACCGCCGCAGCGCGCTGACAAAATGTGGCCTCCGTTTAATACGTAAGTACCCAAATTCTTTTATTTCAACTTTAAGTTCAATCCAGAATTTATCAACTCAACTGCTATTGTACATGACTTCTAGATATGTTTACAAATTGTGTAGGCAAGCCATTTTGAAAATTAAAAACAGTTTTTTTACTTTTTGAGTCAACCTGGTGGGCAATTTTAACTCCCTATTGGTGTAGAGTCATAGAGTACCGGTACAGTAACTTAACTTATTGGTTTAAATTATATTATTATGTGTAAGTTTAAACCAATTGCACTAAGAACACTTTGGATTGTAGGCCTACCATAACTTAGACCTAGGACCCTCAATGATTTGACATTCATTGGTGTATTTTAAAACTAGTCCTAGGCTAACAAGACTAAAAGTAAGGGAGCCTAGATGCAATTTAGTGTTAAAAAAATAAATGTTGAAAAAAAGTGTTAAATTATTAAAAATCCTTAGGCTATAATAATTTAATTAAGTTAAACACAGAGGATACGCGTCCGGTAACCAGACGTGGATTAGGCGTCCGGTAGTGACGTCACCGGGTTGTGGGGTCCTGGAACGCCATTACCACAACGATACGATGTTCGGTCAGCGTTGTTCGTGGTGTAGTGGATAGAGTGCTCGGCTGATATTCAAGAGGTCCCTGGTTCGAAACCCATCGGTTTCTTTAACATTTTGTCACAGATTTTGCTTTGAATGTAATTTCTTCTTAACTGTAGGCTACATCTTTTGTTAAAATTTTTGGCATTTATAATTTTACTAGCTGTAACCCGCGGGCTTTGCCCCGTTTAACTTCTTAATTTTCAAGATTATCTCGTTCGCATGGCTCAATCACGTCCTGGTTGAAGTTTGTTCGCTACGCTCACTCACCTTTAGGTTGGAGCTCGTTCGCTGCGCTCACTTGCCTTCAGGTTAGCTCGTTCGCTACGCTAACTCGCCTCCAGGTTGAAGTTCGTTCGCTACGCTCACTCACCTTTTGGTTGCAAATTAGCTGTTGTCATAAATGTAAAAGAAATAATAGTGCTGCACCCTGTTGGTAATCCTTGTAACTTTTATGCTATTGAACATCATAGAACAGAACCAACTTGTTTAATTGAAACAGCTGTTAAGATTCAATAATTCCATTTCTCATAAGGTTAACATGGGAAACTCCAGAGCCACTGGGGCGGAGCCCGAAAGGATTTTTGAAATAAGAATATGCCTATATGTTAATCGGGAATGTGAGCTATCATCATGCCAAATTTCAGCCCAATCCGACCAGTATTTTTTGCGTTCACTTGTCACAAACATACATCCATACATCCATACATCCATCCATCCAAACTTTCTCATTTATAATATTAGTAGGATGTTATGAAGAGAATTGAACCTTCATTTGATTTTTTTTCATTATCAGCAAGTTTGGTTGGTTAGGTTAGGTTATGACAGTAACTGCTGGACGCCTAATCCACGTCTGGTTACCGGACGTGTATCCTCTGCGTAAGTTAAAACATTTAACATTGGAAACAAGTTAATTATTAGCCTATGGACTAAGTTTAGCTTTATTCCTTATATAATAAATGATGATTTGAATTCATGACAGAAACAACAATAACTTGCTAACTTAGGCTACCTACCTTAAGTTTACCTAACTTGCAATTTTAGCCTAAAATTTAATGAAAAAGTTCAAGCAAAATGAAAAAAATAAATAATTGTTCAGAAGGGTTCCGAGAACTACCAAGTTAGTCTAGATCTTGGCCGCAGATCATTTGGGACTTATCCCCCCAGTAAGTTAGTGTAAAATGTTGGGAGAAAATGGGTTGAGTGTAGTGCTTAACTCATTTCCCAGCTCGGATGAAGTTGCCTTTGAAAAACATTCTGAGATCTGGTGCATGTAATTTAGGGACAAGGAATGAAAAGCTTTTGAAGTACCGGTAGGTCTGGACAGTCGATATCGCATATCCCCGCTAAGTCTTAATAATGATTCTAAACAACAGAGAAAATGATCCACAATTTTCCTTCTTCCAAACAGTGAAACCAGGTGGTGATGCCACCTTAATTAGTCAACGGATACCTTTGTGAAAGATAAAGCTATTTCTAGTTAGCCTACTGAAATATACAGTAAGTAGCCAATGACTAGGGAAGTTATTGTTAATTAATAACCGAAAGGAATTATTCTTCATGTAGCGTCTCAGAGGGACAAAATGTATCCTTGCTTGTTGCCCAGTCGTCACAAAATCACAATACGAGTCTCACTACACCATTTTCCAAGGCTAACAGGCCGAGATAGTGTTCAGGGGAACAAATAAAGAGTTTAATTTAACTTACCAATTGATTTGAAAATATCTCAATAATATATCTGGTAAAAGATCCTTGGTCCGAGTGGTTATAGTGTTCCCCTAACAATCAAAAGGTCGCCAGTTCGATCCTGTGTAAAGTCAGTACCGTAGCTTTTTGATGGTTCAAATCTGGACACAGCTGTTCCTGATCATTGGGTTTTAAATTAATGATCCTGGCTATTGAAACAACTGATCTTAGTCCGTAGGCCTTTTTTTAAGAATGACAATGCCTATTGTAAGTTATTTGTACTACTAAGTATCCATTAGAAATCCCATCTATATTGACCAGTTACATATTGCCAAATTTTATTTCAATAAGAGTATTAAGTTAAGTTTGTGAGCCACTCACAGAATGCACTGGCCTACCGTAGTTTGTCTGAAATTCTATTTATACCTTATTTTTTGTGCTGACAGTTGATAGATTATCAGTTTCTATACCGGTAGCTCATAATAAGTCATTCCATCAGCTTGACTTGGTAAAAAGTTCATATGACAGAAATTAGTTGCCTAGGTTTAATTTATACTCATCATTCACTCATATTTGGGTTAAAATATGCTCCTAGGTGACATTTCTGTCCCAAATAATTGATAGTTTTGATTAATAATCAAAAGCTAAACACGCCTTAGTGAAAGTTATACAGTCGATCAGTTTTTTAATACATTTTAAAATTTAAATACCGGTAAGCTACTGTAACCATCACTTTGGCTATCAAAACATTTTCAAATAAGCTTATATAATGCTAAAACAAAATAAATACTGTAATGGAACTTTAGATATATTTTTTTGGTGGTGATTGTTTTACTAGCTTTCACCAACCTCTTCAAATAATAATATGACAGCGCTTTTAGGCTCCTGTAGGTTCATAGACCTCCAATTCATCCTTTTGTTTGCTCACACTATTGTTGGCCGTTAATAATAGCTGAGGAAAAGTGGGCATACCTTTGTTTTGGATCCAGATTCTTATTTTAACTAGGTTATGTCCAGAGGCTACCTGCCAATTAGTTGCACAACTGATAATTAAGCTTAGCCTGTTTTTATTCATGCCAATTCTTTACCATTATAGTCTACCTTGTGTCTATATTAGTGAGAAGTTAATGTTATGGATTTTGCTATTTTCCATCCAGAAAAAGGGCATTGGTAGATAGGGAACAGCTTTTTGAGTTAGTTGGATATAGGCTACCTGGGAGATTTTTGTGGACAAGTAAAATTAAGGCTACACTTTATTTTTTCAAGATAAAAAGTGGAATACTAAAATCTTCCAGTTGAGAGCATTAATGATAAGCTCACTTTCTTGTAAGACCAGAACAAATTATATTGTTAAAAATACTAAGGTTTTTCTCTGGAATTTTTAAAATGAATTTTTCTTAATTATTTAACTTAACTTGAAATTTTTAAGAGACACGGCTCTTTGGAGATGATTAAAACTTGCAAGCACTACATCTAGTTTATATGCTACTTAAATACTGACAAAGATTGGATGGTATCACAACTAGGATACCTTGTTGATTGCCAATAATTAAATTTGTCCCTTTATTTACTTATTCGTAACAGAAAATAGAAATACATGGGAAGAGCAGTATAAAACTAGTTTCGTGATACTTTGTGTCCGTTGTTTGTTTAGTTATTGGTCCAAGCACAAAAGAATTCCGGTTTACAAGTACAAAAGATCTCATTTGATCAAAAGCAATAGCTACTAAAACAGTAAATGACAGTGATTGTAACAGCAGAAACTGATTGTTTCCCCCAAATGTTGGGATTTAGCTTAGTCCAGAAACAGTTTTGAATTATTACTGTAAGAGCCTACGTCTTACAACAATGAGAGACCATTGTTAGAGTTAGAGGTTAGCTGTGAGAAAGGTCCTTGAGGTCCTAAAGTACCTAGATAAAGAAGGATAGGGTTCATTTAATCTTGTTCATCTTCACAATATCAGCTATTGAAAGTTCTCAAAAGTTCCTTTATTTTCTGTCAATACCTCAGGAATGCACGATATCTTAATTAGATAGTTTCTGATCTGGCTGTCTGACAATTCATGATGCGTTGAACTGAAGATTAGTTGGAAACAAAAGTAATAGAGTACTGTCTGCCTTCTGGGAAACGCAGTGAGTGACTGCCAACTAAGTCAACAGCTGGTCCAATTTAAAACAACTCTGCTGCTAATTCATTTTGACATTTAATTTACATGATAGTTCAACAACCCCGTTATATAAACAATGTTTTTACAAATTACTCACTGTACCGGAATATTAAGATAAATGGATCCTGGCAGATTAAAATAGGCTAACAAGTTTTCAGTGAATCTTATTAAGCCAATTAGGTACATAGCTATCAATGTTGGGTGATAATAAAACTGTATCAC